GAATTTATAGATGTTTTAAATAACAAGCTTCTATTTGATGCAATATTTATATTATTGAGGAAATGTAACAAGATTGTTGATTCAAACAATTTTTGACATATATTTTACTGAAGAGCCAAAGATAGTAGAGATATTAAATTTCTAAAATAAGAACTACATACTGTATATTTCATCCTTTTAAAACCGTGTTGTCCTTGTGGCTGTGCATACAAACCACGATGTTTCTGTTGCTCAATGGACTATGCATGGTCTTGATCCAAAATTCAGAAAACTGTTTAAGGACAGGTGGATTCTGTTAATTCTACAACAAAGGCTAACAGTTTTATTTTTCAAATAATTTTAATCGATTTTTAGGGAGAGGAAGGGAGAGGGAGAGAGAAATAGAAACATTGATGTGAGCATGAAACAGCCCTGCTGCTTCCTGCACGCCCCCTAAGCCCCCGACCCAGGCATGTGCCCTGACCTGGAATCCAACTGGCCCAAACAACTGAGCCACACTGGCCAGGAAATGATTTTATTTTTTGAACACATAAATACTTCTTTTATGAGATATTGAAAAATTTTCTCTTTTGTTGGTTAAAATGACTTCATTTGCCACTTTATTATATGCATTATATTATTAACTCCTCAAAGGGGGAAAACATTGTTAATACCAGAGAGTTCTGACCACAGATATTAATCAGGCACTAATTAGTGTGTCAGTAGCTCTGGGCCACAGTTTACTCAGCTGCAAAATGATGTGGTTGTGTTCTGGAAGATTATGTCATGTGCAGAGTGGATAATGGAGAAAGCAGTCTTCTCAGATCTGGGTTGACTAGCTGTAGCTCTAAACTGTTCCTCCTGTATATATTACCTTTGAGGTTTCACACATTCAAGATTAATTCTGAATTACAACGAAATATCTTTCAAAGCATTATGAACCAATATGTAGTTTGCTCTTCTATTTGAACCTCATTGTTTAAGCAGTTGGACAGCCACTGGACAAGGAGGTGGACTAGGACCTCATATTTTGACCCAACATGCCCAGGTCTTAATAATACGGTATTTATTCCTAAAGAGAAATGGCATCTAGTAAGCAGTAACACGTCAAAGTTAATAATAACAAACAGAAAAAATAAGTTAGTGCCAACAATAATAGGATTCCTCATCTTGTCTGCCATTAATCATGTTCCTAAGTCACTTATGCTTTGAGGAATTTCTGGCCGGATTTTCTCACAATAAATGTCCTGGATTGAATATATTAGGCAATGGCAGACTTCTGCATGCACACATAGACAAATGAGCTCAATTGTACTTTCAACATGAAGGAAACATAATGATTGTATGTAAGCATAGTAAGTTTTATAAAATGTTATGGGGAAGAATAATACTACTCATATATCATGCACCTGAAGAAAATAAGAAAATAAGCAATTTACTTGGATTCTTGAGTATATTTCTCCTAGTTTTAATCCGTCATGCAAAATTGAAAAAAATACAGAAAATAATGAAACTAAAAATCTGAAATCAAAATTACTATAATTAATTAGACGCTAATAAGAAGAAAAACAAAAGATCTTTGGTGTGTTTGAAATTTCTGTGTTTTTTTTTTTACATTGTATTTCACTTGATTTTTGCAATAGCAGGAAACTTCCAGAAATTCTAGACTTTAGGTAAACTATTATGAGGTAGCAATTAGAATGTGTTACTCACTGAATGAAATGGGTAAAGTGCCTAACTTTCATATTCAAACTATTTCCCAGGCACTTGCTAAGATCATGAGAGGTACTACTTTTTTAAAACAGCAGTTAATAATTTTAGGTCAGGATATCTTCAGTGAAGTTAGGAAACACACTATACACACACATGCACACAAACAAATACACACAGAGAAAACCATAGAATACTATTACATCTAACAATATTTTCAATAAAATGAAAGCCTAGATTTTACTTCTTTTTGGAGCCTTTCAAAGAAATTATACAAAATATTGAGATCTTAGAGTTATGCTTTGGGCATGTCAGAGTGAAGCTGGAGGCAGTTGATACTGAGCCATATTGTAACATTTATCTGCAAAGAAAATCACTAAGATAAACCTAATTTTATGTTATTGATATAAGAAATATAGGGCCACTGACTGATATGCTATATCCTAGGCTCTTAATCTATACAGAACAATGAAGAAAGCTAGTGAGTGGAAAAAAGCCCACAATATTTTAAAGCATATAATGTTCAAAATATTATATTTCTAAACTAAGCTAAAAGTTATCATTGGTAAAATATAATACTAAGAAAAATAGTTTTACAGGTTAATATACTAAACTAAATACAAAATAATTATACAAATGATTGGAATAAGAAAATATCTTAAATGCTTAGAGCTTTTACAGAAGACTAATTTTTAAAATTATGAACTCATACTTTTTATTTTAATTTATAAAATTCAGAGATTTTACAAAGAATCAGATTTTTGTTCAATCAAAAGACAAATCATATAATTTATTTATGATGTTTGAATTATTTCAAATTAGTGTATCTCTGGAAAAAGAGGGTTGGGTATATGTTGGTATTTATGTATTCATTACAAAATCTCTACCAAATGCCATACTTTGTGCCCTGTGGTGACAGATTCTGAGATATAGTAGAGAAAAAGATAAAAATGTCTCTACCCTCATATATGTTTTTCAGAGCATCTATAAAAATAAAAGCGTAATATGCTAATTAGACCGGTCAGTCAAATGACCTTCTAGACCAGTGGTTCTCAACCTTCCTAATGCCGCGACCCTTTAATACAGTTCCTCATGTTGTGGTGACCCCCAATTTCATTGTTACAAATTGAACATAATTAAAGCATAGTGATTAATCACAAAAACAATATGTAATTATATATGTGTTTTCCGATGGTCTTAGGCGACCCCTGTGAAAGGGTCATTCGACCCCCAAAGGGGTCGTGACCCACAGGTTGAGAACCGCTGTGCTAGAGGGCCAGACCATTATAAACAGGGAAGCAGGTTGTTTACCACAACAGTAGAAGTGATTTTTTTCTGAAGATATGGGT